TTTCTCGTCTCTTATACCGCGATTTCGCCAAACAAGACATGGAGTCTGGAAGACATGCCGCCAGGGACACCGAGCCATAGGGCTCAAATCGGAGTTCAAACAAAATAAGACAGATATACCACAGGTTTTAGGAGGAGATTGTTAGATAAAACCTGAGATTTTTCTTATTTAGATTTACACGTTTTCATTAGTTGTTTAAATACATTCGTTTGACCATTTGACAAACACGTCGAATGTCAATTTTGTAGGAAGTGTCACAGATTTAGTTGGCCACTCTCCAGCCATTTTTAGGATTTTTCTTATTTAGATTTACACGTTTTCATTAGTTGATTGAATACATTCGTTTGACCATTTGACAAACACGTCGAATGGCAATTTTGTAGGTCACAGATTTAGTTGGTCACTCTCCAGCCATTTTTAGGATTTTCCTTATTTAGATTACACGTTGTCATGAGTTAGATTGAATACATTCGTTTGACCATTTGACAAACACTTAGAATGGCAATTTTGTAGGAAGTGTATTTAGTTGGCCACTCTCCAGCCATTTTTAGGATGAGTTAGATATTAAATCTGTTTAGTAGATACAAGCACCTCATTTTAAGCAAAAGTCTTCCGCAATTATCTCTCTCTGTTATTTTTCACATCTTTATTTTCTCCCAACAACTTCTCGTCAAACGCTTTCCTCTCACCGAAAAGGATTTCAGTTGCCGATTATCCTTGCCGATTGTCGAAAAACAACATAGAATCCTACTTCATCTAGGAAGAATTCAAAAGAAGTTCCAGTGAGCAGACACTCTTCATCAAGAGGAAGAGAGGTAAAATTCTTATTGTAAGCATTTATGTTGATGATCTTTTATTTACTGGTGACGATGAAGAATTATTGGAGGAGTTTTAACGTTCCATGAAGAAAGAGTTTGATATAACTGACTTAGGTCAGATGAGATTTTTTCATGGAATAGAGGTAATACAAAGATTAGATGATATTTTTATATGTCAAAGAAAGTATATTGCTGAAGTTTTAAATCGATTTGGCATAGAGAATTACAATTATGTTTGTAATCCCATTGTTCTAGGATAGAAAATTGGCAAAGATGAAAATAGTGCAAAAGTAGATATATCTTTGTATAAACAAATAGTGGGAAGTCTAATGTATCTCACAGCTACTCATCCTGACCTCATGCTTGTTGTAAGTTTGATTAGTCATTTTATGGCATGTCCAAAACAACAACATTTTGCAGCAAGCTAAAAGGATTTTAAGGTACTTGAAAGGTACAGTAGATTATGGTGTATTTTATAGAAAGGGAGGAGTTAGTGATTTAATTGGAGTTACTAATAGTGACTATGTCAGAGACATGGAAGATAGCAAGAGTACTTCCGGTTATGTGTTTATGATGAGTAGAGAAGCTATAGTTTGGTCTTCTTGTAAGCAGCCTATAGTCACCTTATCAACCATAGAAGTTGAGTCTGTTGCTGCTAGTGCCTGAGCATGTCAAGTTGTTTGGACGAGGAGGATACTCAAAGAGATTTGTCACTCTCAAATAGAAGGAACAAAGCTAATGTGTGATAATACTTCAACTATTAAGCTATCCAAAAATTCAGTTCTACATGGACGTTCCAAACGCATAAGAGTAAGATTTCACTTTCTTAGAAATCTTACAAAAGAAAGAATTAGTAATTTATTATTTTGTGGTACCCAAAATCAACTTGCTTATTTGTTGACAAAGCCTCTAAAATTAGAAGCATTTCGGAAATTGCCTAACTTGGTGTGCAGAATTTTTCTGACTTTGAAATAAAAGAATAAGGTTAACTAACAGATTGTTAGAAGAATTTGATTAGGTCAAAACATTAGAGTATTTTTAGGTATTTAGTTTAAATATTTTCCAAGATTTGTTTACAAGATTTATAGTTATTTGTAAAGCTATACAAGCTAAGATCAGGATTCAATACTATCATCACTTCAAACTTCAATTGTTTATGTTTCTGGCTTAGTTATTCTGTCAAAACCTAACACCTAGCAAGCAAAAACTCATGCTCGGGAAAACATGTCGATCAATGGTACAGACTTTAATTCTCCAAGCAATTGAATTAGCCCCTAAAGAGCTAGTCTCGAGCATCCTGAAAATAAACCACCTATATGCCCTAAGAATTGAGTAAACCTCCATAGAAAAGACAACTAAAAAGGCTTAATAATGCTTAATATCAGTGTGAACAGTGTCATTAGAGTTTTTGACCCTCTATTCTCTCCGACACCTCGTAGCGTTATCAGCTACCTAAATCAAACGCAATAGCTTCTCTGTGAAGCGGTAAGCCCCCAAGAGAGGTACAGTCAAGCTAGGCCTAGACTTGATAGGGTAGTGCGTTGAGGCTAGGTATGGGGTCTTCTGAACAGGACCTCTGCATTGTAAACCCGTCATGAGAGGTGGAGTGGGACCATGCGAGTAACCTTGTAGTTGGCCAGGTATGGGGTCCCTATGACTCCAGTGGAAGGGTCACCAACTAACCTTCTATAGATGATGTTTAGACCAGCTAGATGTCATACCATCTTGATAGATTTTCTGAGGTCACATCTCAACCAAGGATGTCGGACGTTCATTGTTACGGCCATGCAAGCTGAATAGTCAGAAGAACTGTAAAGTTAGTTCACCATGTGCTATGACACGCCGTCTAGTAAATTTGCAATGCTAGAAATGGGTGAACTGTGTCTAGACCTAAAGTGGGTTCATAAGAAGTAAAATTATCATCCAAAACTTTGAAATCTTCCCAGAAGCTAGCTATAGAACTAGGCCCGAATTTTCTAAATCCTAGAGAAAACCTCGTGGTAACTTATTAGGATAAGATATTATGAGAGTTTACAAGTAGGTTGTTTATTGATTATTTTTATACTCACCTCATTCCTCATTTCTTTTTCAGGTGCTTGCTGACTCTCGATCGAGGTCGAGGAGTGTTCAGAAGCTATTTAGTCACATAGCGGTTCATTCTGGGGCGTTAGTCCATTTGCATGTTGTGAATATTTTGTATTTTGTTTGAAATTGCATCCCCAACTCATTCATTGTTTGTAATGAACTCAAATAACTCCAGTTTGCAATTGTTCTTGCATTTTCGATTTATTATTTTTCGTGTTTTTTATTTTTAACTTTCCTCAATTTTTACCGTATTTTAGTTTTTATTTATTTTACTTCACTTTAGTTTTATTTGCTTTTCTTTGGTTTTTTTTAATCACTACCGATATTTGAAACCTAAAATTTCAGATTATGACATTTACGATTCATGGATATGCATGATCAAGACATAGACTAAGTAGTACCTATCAGAAGCTTATGTAATTTATAGAACCTCGGCTGAATTTTGAGAGTCAAGAACTTAGATCGTTGTACTTAACTAGGATATAAATGCAATTATAAGCTAATCAATAAACTACTTATCGAGTATTTTTATACCCATACAAATTCTTACCTTTTTTTTTTTTTTTTTTAAGATGATAACCGCGTAGTTAATCGAAGATGGGAGTAGTGGGAGTTGTGTGTTCACAAAAAGAAATCATTCACTAAAAAACTAAAGAAATTATTTGTGAAGTTTACTAGAATAGGCTAACACTTTAAAGTCATTAAGAAGCATACCGATTCTCGAATCATAATCAGTTATCTCCTTCACTATTTTTCAAAGAGTTATACCAATTTTATTGATTTAATTAGATATTGCTAGTGGCCGACAAATTTAAAAAGAAATATTAGTAGAATTTCAAAGATCAACAACTTTATAATTATATAAGACCGAGTGGAAGACTTTTCTTATATCGCTCTCGAATATCAAATATTTAATAAAATGATAGTTCCATTCATTAATCTAAATATTATCTTCAAAAAAATAATAATAAAGAGAGGAAATTAAGATGGGTTGAAAAGAATGGAATAGAAACCAGTTTAAATGAAAAGGCCACACTTTGATTATATTCTATTCTGAGTCGGCCATTCATATCGAGAACAAAAGCATACGAGTTCCAATTTTATTGGCCCCCTTTTATTTAACCCATACTGAGTGGGTGGGTGGATTGGATACACCTTCTAGACCTATTCTCCACTATAAAATTTACCATGTTTTTTATTGGTGTTTTCAAATTATAAGAGCCTACATGGTGATTGTGCTATGCATAAACTTATTTTATTTTATTTTCAACTTTCTTATATAAAGTGTTGGATTAAAAAATAAAAAATTATTTTCCACTTATTCATAATTATTATGATAATAGATACATTACGATGAATAAGATATTTATATAGGTATAGCTTCTTAGAAATTTCGAAAATTATTTTTATTAACATTTCTTGACTCATAATGGAAATTGATCTAAATGCTTTTTTATTATTATTATTATTACTATTTTGAGGAATATGTTAAAATGTTTTATTAATACAACATTTAAGATTTACATAGTTATTATTACAAGAGTTTGACCCTTATAGAATGGGTCCATACTGGTTTCCATCATAGAAAGCAAACCATGTGGCCTTCATTTTGGTGGGATTGTAATATTCCTTTCTTGAATGATTTAATAGTTCATTTAATAGTTCTCGAGATGTTTCTTCGTGATTTTATTGGGTTTTTGTCTTTGGATCCATAAAAAAAAAAAAAAAAAAAGATTTAAAAAAAAAAAAGAAACCAAGATTGTGGATTAATAAAGTTGATATTTGGTGTATGGGTTTAATAATTTAATACGTTAGCATCTAGTAAAATGCATGGTTTGGGTTCACGTAGCTCGTAAAGTGCACAAATTGTGTTGATTAATTAAAATATATCAATTATTGCATGATAAAAAGTATCAAGATTAAATCATTATAAAAACTAAGTTATTACACACTAAAGATTTCGTTAATTCGTGAACAAAAATCGAGCATTTTTTTACCTATGAACTAATTTGACCCAACGAGATAATGTTAGATTAAAAGTTAACACCCAAATATAATAGTGATAAAGTGTCATTTGTAAGAGAGAGGACCAAAAAAGAGGAGCAAAAAGGTAAGTACTTTGTTATTTCTGAGCTAATTAAAACCCTAAAAATCTGAAATGAACACTGCAAAACTCTAAGCAGTTAGGTTTTAGGTAGGTAGGCAGAATGCAGGTGATGATGATATATAGGTAGAATTGGGTTATAAGCTGATTGAACTATAAACCCATTTGGCTGTGCTTCTGAGTTTCATCTGTGTGTTGTTTTTCCAAACAAATGAAACCAAAACCCAAGGGATCTGCCTTTGTTGTATGGCTCAAGTTTTTAGCCATAATTTGTCAGTTTACATCATCACTTGTAGTTCTACTTGTTAAATCTTCATTTGGGAGACCATATCCTGATCTCTTACTCGGTGTGTTGCTCAGTTGTTGGCTTTCTTCTGTTGTTAGTGCCAACAGATGAGTGCTCTCCTTGGTCTTTCTGAAAACCAGATAAGCTATTCCTGCTAAATATATTGCCATCCCTGAAAATCCAAGTATCCCTATGAAGACGACTGCTACGAGTTGGAGATCGTTATGAAGGAGAACGTGGATGAAGCGGGTCATGAGGTAGTATATGTTTATAGCCATGATGAGGAACCCAATAATCCATGTCAATACCGTAATCTGCATTTCGAACGAAAATTAATCAAGTGATCAGAAAGAAAACTATGATGATCAGCTTCATGACATTCATCAGTTCATCCTTTGAGATAAAAACTAAAAGAAGAATGTATTTCAAGCAGAATAATCTAACCTTTCCTTCGTTATAGGATTAGTATGATATAACATGTTATGATCCTTTTTCTAAGATTAAAATAACCATTTACTTTTTGTATAATAATCGAGGTAAAATTTCAAAAGGCGTCAAATTCAACTCTATAATGAGCATTCAAGATAAGACCCACTTCAAGAAATAAAGAAAGGTGTTATTTTCTTCATGATATTTGTGGACGATAGGAATTTGTAACGATCCAAGTCTACGGCAGATATTGTCTTTTTTGGGTTTTCCCTTTCGGGGTTCACCTCAAGGTTTTTAAAACACTGTATAAGGGAGAGATTTCCACACTCTTATAAAGAATGTTTCGTTACCCTCACCAACCGATATGGGATCTCACAGAATTAATTTGATACAACTTTTAGTTTTTTATTTTTTTTTAAGATAAAAGCTTATAAACACTACTTTCACACATGGGTTTCTTTGTCTTGTTTTCTACTTTCTAGAGATGTTTTCAAAATTCAAGTTAAGTTTAGAACCAAACCTATTTTAGTTTTTGGGATATGGCTAACAACTCAAATATTTTCTTAAGAAAAATGAAAGTCATTCTAAGGAAATGATGAGAAACAAGCACAATTTTAAAAAACGAACTCGTTATCAAACAGGCCTTCGTTATAAGGATTTGAAAGATGTTTAACTCGACCTTTGTCTGGAATCATCTAAGAAAAGAAAAAATGAAGTGTTATAGAGTTAGCTACTTGGGTCAATTGGAAATTACCGCAGTGGAGTTGACATGTGTTCCCATCTTGGTCCTGCTGCTTGTAAACTTCAGAAGAGGAACGAGAGCAAAAGGAAGTTCAAATGACAAAATCATCTGCAGAAAAAAGAAGATTGCAGAGAGTTAAAATGCTTGACCTTCAACCTTAAGCTATATTACATTCATATGAAGTATATCGCTTACAGACGCAATAATGATGAGCTTCCCAGCCCCAGAAGACCCACCAATGATTGCAACAATCAAACTAGGAACAATTGCTAAGCATCGGGTTAAAAAGTTTCGGACCCATGGCGTCAGTTTCAAATCGAGAAACCCCTAAAATACATAATGGATGAGAGCCATAATTCAGAGAATGAAAGGAAGAAGAGCTTTAACATGGCAAAAAGAGCAGCAGTATAATACCTGCATAACATACTGTCCTGCATAGGTTCCTGTTATGGTAGAACTCTGACCAGATGCCAATAAAGCAATGGCAAAAAGTTTTGAACTCCATTTACCCAATACATTCTGCAAAAAGTATACAAAACCTCTGTAAAAAACTGGCACAACATTGATGAGGGAGGAACCAAATCCCATGAGGCAAATATGGATATGGTAAAAAGATGCTAGATCACTCATACTCTCAATAAAAATGAAGCTTTATTCAAGTCCAAATCATTGCAGCTCATTTGGTCCTCCTTATTTAGATCTGGTGAATTGCAAACTGCACCACTAACTGAAATGACTGATACATTAATCAGAAAAGCCACCATGAGAGCAAATCCACTCTCGATCATATAAAATCTGCAAGCTTCCTGTGTCGAAAATGTGTACTGTTAGTACAAAAGAACGTAGAGTTGCAACTTAAATAATAAAGCAGCAACCAAAGCTTTGAAGCATGCTTCTGTGAAGCGATGAGGTAAGAAACATCACCTTGATGCCAGAAACGGATCGGGGTATTTTCCGAGAGAGCACGAGTGCCGAATGAAGAAAGAGATTGTGTCTGCAGCAGGTAGTTCGACTTAGAATATTGAAACGAATGCTATGAATGTTATTAAGGGATATAAACGACATACGGCATAACCATAGCACCAAGAAGTGAAATAGCAAGACCAGTAGCACCACTTCCTTTTAATTGAGGGACAAATAACCCATAAAAAACTTCTCCAACATCAGGCTTTGCATAGCCCAGCTCCAGGAAGAAGCAAATCGCAATGGTCAGTACAAGAAAGGCAATCAAGAATTCAAGCTTTCTAATCTGCATGGTTGATAGAAAAGCAATCATGGTGAGCATGTAAAGTAGCTAAAGCTCATCTCTAAAACTGTATTGCTGCAACATAAGCAAAATGCAGAAAAAAGTAAATCTGGAAATACCCCATATTGCTGCAGTGCAAGAAGGAAGAGTGTGCTAAGCCCTGTTAGAAGAACACCACACCATACAGGAATGCTGAAGAGCATATTCAATGCAAAAGCGGTTCCTATAACTGGAAGCATAAAGGATGAGACATAAGAATAACTTCAACAACAAACAAGAATTCTAATAATGGAAAATCTAAACACTAAACTTACATTTCATGTCTACTAGATAAATGAATATCTTAAATTTTAAAATTTAGGGACTAAAGTTGTAAGTTTGAAAGTTCGAGACCAAATAGATACAAATGGACTAAAATTATAATTTAACCCAACTCAAGATATGCTTTTCGGTTTGGCTAGTACACTTGATCGTATCAATGTCAAACATCACAGTTGGTCAATGGACGTGTAATCAGCGTTTAACAGCATTTGCTGAGTGGTTATGATATTCCCCTTCTCCTCCACCTACTGATGCTAACAATACTAGCTTTAACGACGCATTCGTATCGGCAACTAATATAAATCTCCACTCATAAGCTTTTGTACAAATCTCAGAAAATTCATTGTAAATAAACCATCCAACATGAGTACAAATGAAAAAGCCTAACCATGCAACAGTTGTTCTCATTTCTTCTATGACCAAGACTATTTTTCACTCAACTATTTGATTACTATCGAATAGGATTTCTATACTTTACCTTCAGGAATATCACATGCAACAATTGCAATCTCAGCAAGAACCCATAGGATGAAATTTTGCACTTTGGGGTACTCAGCTTTACAGTGCTCTGCTAAATGTTTTCCTACACGTACCAAAAAAAAACAAGAACGAAAAGATGTCTAAAAACACTAGGAACTATTTCGACAAGAAGAAAAGGTTAAGCAGTAGTGATTTACCTGTGACAACCCCTAGATTTGCTGCTAAGGATTGAATAATGAGGGCAGCACAGGATGCCACTAATATGATCCAAAGCAACTATACCAAGAGAAACGATGTTAGGTGTCAGGTCGACGATGAATATAACGAGCAAGTGCAATTCGAATGACACGGTAGAATTTTCTGTTAAATTGGAGCCGATTCAGAATGCTCAGTACATTACATAACTGAAAACATGGACAAAAACTCTATGTTTATATAATCTATAGCACAATATTTTAATAAATGGTGAATGGATCATCACAGCTCTTCATAGCAGCATGCAGTTTATTAAACGAATCCATCCATAGACAAGGGTGTGGGAACAAGAGATTGAAATATGTTACCACCAAATGATGTGTTTTTAGTTGTTAAAAGTAAGGGAACTACATCAAAACGAGAAACGAGCACTTACGTACCCCATACTTGTACTGAGCTCCAGATTGAAGGTCAGTTTCAACTGAGAATAACCATATAAAATCTTCAGAATCCGTTCACAATGGAATAAAAGAAAAAACCACAAATGAGAGAAACTTCAAATCTTACAATTCCCAGGATCAATATATGCAATGGATACAAGAAATCCCGGGCCCATATATGCAAAAAGGTTCTTCCAGCTTTTCTTCTGCACATAACACGCAACAGTAGCTCTCAATCAATAAAATTCCTTCAGCACTTTTGTCTATGCCCATTACTTCATAGCTTACAAGTTGTTAAACTCTAGCAATGTCTCATTCAAAGTACAATTAAATGACTAATTATCCAACATCATCAGAACAACAAAGATTAAGGCTCACATCAGGAACAACAATCTGACCAGTTTCCGGATTCTCGATCAATGGTGCGTGTGAAAAACTCTCATTTCCAGCCCTCGCAATGAACTGTGGCTGCCCAGAACTAGACCCTCCAGCCGCCATTTCTTGAAACGAAATGAAATCTGAAGTTAGCTAAAAAGAATGCCCGGAGTAAACAAACAAACAAACAAACACATCCACTCGCTATCTCCATCAGAAATCAAGTTAAACCAGAAATTGAAGGAAAATAGAGTAAGAGCGAACTCAGATTTAGGATATCCAGAACAAAAAAATGATCCCCTGTTTCGTTATTCCATAGCTGAATAGGTCAAAAACTCGAAATATAATCATGTAGAGAAAATCTAATCGAAGAACTGGGATTGAACGCATTTTGGGTAAACAAAGAAAGGGGAAAGGGGGCGCAACAGATCTCAGTTCGCTAAATTTTTTTGCGACATTTTCCAAGAAGCAAAACAGAGAATTGGGGCAAGTGATCCAAAAAGAAAATAAAATTGAAGAGGAAACCTTAATCGAGAATATGATATGGCGTGGATGATGGTGTGTTAGATAAGCTAGTGGCCAGAGCTCCCTCTTTGCTCACTCTCTCAGAGTTCTCTCTCCCTTAAATAGCCTCCCTACCTTCATTTCTCTCTCCACCCTTTTTCTGTAAAGCTCTCTTCTCGGCAGCTTCTCTCCCCTCAAAATTTACTCTCTACTTTTAAGATAAGTATGCATTAAAATAATTTTTTAATTTATGTGCGTTTAATACTTTTTCTTAGTTTAACAATTTCAGCTAGACTTTGGAAGGTTAATGATAGTGTTAATCTAGAAATAAATTAATTAATTAAAAATAACTAAATAACGCGTGAGAAGTGTTATGGTCATACTTGTCCAAGATATGTTGTCTATGGCCGCATGTCGGATGTCTCAGTCATGTTTGTTCTGGTTGTCTATGGCCGCATGTTCATTTCAAACCCCTTTTCACATGTTTCTATCTTAGATAGGCTTTTACTATTTTATTTTGTGTCAATACGAGGGTGCATGACCATTCGCCAAAATCATATCTACACCCAATCTAAAATGCTCTAAAATATACTATAGGGGTATGGGATTACTAGTCAATTTTTCTTATCCTAAGTTATATGCTATTTAATTCGTGGTGTTTCTTTCTTTACTTATAGCCATATAAGGTTGTTTTCTTCAATTCTTTCAAATCATTTTCAAATGTATTTCCGACACTTGACTTGAGTCCCGAGCATACGCCGACGCTGTATGTGACGTCCGAATTTCTTAGGGTGACTTGTTCGCTAGATTAGAACAAATGTCGCACAATCGTTGTCTCGTTTTTGCAAGAGTACAATTGTGACAAAAAGCATGTCATCGGTTGTAGTAGAGGGCGTCTATGGGTCGATTCAAGGGAAGAAGGATTTTTCATGAACTTTCATAGGCAATAACTATAACTTTAGACTAAGTTACACTTTTAGCATGCATAGAAGCCTATTGTTATATAAATTTGAACCTGAATTGACTGTGGTTTTATCTATGAAATGCATGTTGAACTCTCATGATACACATTTTGTATGAGAAATCAGCAAATTGAACTCTTGATTTGTCGAAATGGTTAACATCACTAGTTATGTCCCTATAAATGATTTATTCATGCATCAAATGTTCATGCAATTATACGGTAACAATTAAAGGTTTACCAACTAGCTAGGTCGATTGTGGAGAGTCTAAGACTGTATCCCTAAAATAAAAAAACAAAAAAAACAAAAAATGGCCTTTACCAGTTAGACAGATTGAAAAACAAAAATGGTAAAAAAAAAAAAAAAATAGTTAACCCGTGTTTAATTATTTAGATTTGAATTAGAAATTAAATGTCAATAATTTTATATAAATTCTAGTAAACCACATCATTATTAGCCAAAGAATCCATAGTTAAAACAAAAACAAAAAGATAGGTAAAGACGTCATTAGAAGATAAAAGAATATAAGTAAACACAGGAGGAGGAAGATTTTGAGTGAATAGAATTAAAAAAATGAAAGGGATGAAGAAAATGAAAGATTTGGTTAGCCGAATTAAAAGATAAAACATATGAAAAAGAAGATTTTGAGAACCTAATTAAAAGATAAAATAGAATATAGATTAGAGTGGATGAAAAGAATTAAATGATAATAGAGAGTAATTATGATAAGGCAAGAAACTTATATTTGATGTTGTGTGTTGACACGTGTCCTGTGGTTTTGCACATGTCATATATTTGATATATGTGAATTGTTTATGAATCGATATGACTATGATATGATATGTGAATGGTATGATAACTCTTACGGTATGATGTATTCAATGATATGTTTGAAATAGAATACGAGAAAATTGCGATAAACGTAATGTAATGATATGACTAAGATAGGTTCATGAAACGATATGGTTAAGTTATGTATAGAAAATGATATGATTATGATAGATTGATAAAACGATATGGTATGATACGTTCCAATAGCAGTATGACTAGAATACGTTCATAAAACGATATGATTAGGAATACGTTTGGGAAATGATATGACTAAGGTATGCTCATGAAATGAATGCCTTATGGGTGCAGGTAGGGGGTCTCCAACTACCATCTAATCATAATCTTGTGCGGATGAGAGTGGAGTCCACATAGGTAAATGAGAACTTAATAATTGAGGGTTGCTGCCTCCTTTGTGAGACATTGATTTATAGGTTAGAAATGATACCAAGGTTGCACTTGAGGACCTATAATGATGAAAGAGACTAGTAGAACAATGATTTGAGATACCTCAAGAACCCAAGATGAACTTCAAAGGCTAGAGGTGCAAATAGGACCAAAAAACCAAAAGCTAATAACATCCGCTCATTAACCTAAGTTGAGTTTAAGTAGGACAAATAAATTTAGAAAGTAGTCAAGGAAGAACTTAAACTTGGGAATGAACTCCCAATTAAGAATAAAACATTGAACAAAATGATTATGATAAGATTTAAGAACGAATTAAGAACTACCAACAAACTGCTTACTAAGTATATTTTTATATTCATTTTTGTTACTTCAACTTTCTTTTTCGATGAGGCATGATGGAGCAATCGAGGCAAAGGCACACATGAGTTGTAGGGCTATAAAGGTCGAACTAGATTGATGTATTGTATTTCTCATATTTTTTATGAACTCAATTCTTATATATATTGGAAAAGCATTCGTCAGTGCACGTTGTCATTTGATTTAATTTAATTAATATAAGTGACAAAATATGAGCGATTAGAAAACAATCGAAAAACAAAGTGAAAAAAGAACGAAGCAAATGGTGGATTCCACAACGATGTTGTGAACCCTTTTTATGAACCCTTGGTCTAAAATTCATCCTCTTTTCCTGCCCCAACCATTTTGTGAACCCTTTTTACATGTCCTTTCTGAAGGAGATTCCGTCGCCCAATTGGAGGTAAGCATCAAACCCACGGGCCCACAAACGTACGGCTCAGATCATCTGGTATATGGGAAACGAAAACACCTGATTCTCACTCCCTTTATCCTATTAAATTTCACTGAAAAAGCATAATTCCTAACGTGTGGCGGCCGTATGCATCACGCACTCCGCTATCCTCCCACGTGTCGCCACGTCACCAAAAGCTACCCCAACTGGGTGCCACTTCTTCGCAAGTACAATTCAGAGCAGTGACAAACTAAGTCAAAGTTCCGATGTTGAGGTTGAAAGACGGTTGGAAACTGGGGCATTATACTTTCTGCGGGGACCACCGAGATCTTTTTTTTTATATTAAATTCGATGATTCGCAAATGGAGGGTTGATGATGAACCATTCACTGTGTCTGGAAGATGGGGAAAACAAATTGAATACTCTCATCATTATTCTCTGCTTTTCTTTACTTTGAATGATTGATCCAAATTTATTCACCCAATTTTATTACATACAAATTTCTGAATTTTTATTTACATTAAATAAAACTCCACAATTTTATTATACTCTTGTGAGTGAGTAAAGTAAAGGTATTAGTAGATTGTATTAAATTGGGTTAATTGGCATTTATTCATCAACTGATTTGATGGTCACGCTTTTATCACCATCCATCGTACTCGCACTTGATTCACATATTTTAAATTATTAATCTCAATAATAATAATAATATCCATCAAGATTGGAGAGCTTCCAGGATCTTCTTTATCTTCTTTCTCATAATATATTTTAAATTATTTTCTTTTACGTTCAAAATGACTCGTCCATTGTTCTTATATACTATTTATTATTTCTTGTGTGGATAAATACTTGTTCATTTTCTACGCATTCGGTGGAGACCGAGTCTGAGAGGGGACACAAAATTCCAACCCTTTTCATCAATAAATACACCGGTTAGATTGTGAAAATCTTTTGAACAAATATGAATATAGTTTTCAATTCAACTTTATTTTAAAAAAAAATAGTAACCAAATTCAAATATAAAAAATAGGTTATAAATGTGATTTATTTTTAATTTTCTTAATAATTCCAAAATTAAGATAGAGTAAAGTTGGTCTCTATTATTTGAATGGGTTAGTTCGTGTTGTCATGAACCAACCCGATTGTATGGTATGGTGATGCATTGTAATGAAATTTAAGCATCCACTGGGTTAGGCCCAATATTATGGAGGGCCCATCCAACGGAAAAGATCTGATGATGATTCCATTATATGTATGGGCCAGGCCCAGGTCAAAGCTGCAGTTTAGATGGTTCACACAATTTGAGATATTTTGACCTTCCAACAGTGCTCGAATTATGACTCAAATCACACGTGTCTTCGTTTAACTGGTCCCCTGCATCATTCAATCAACAGGTGTATGAACCAGCAAAAAGACCACAAATACATCAAAATTTATTTTTTAATAAAGGTTATACATTATTTTAGTTTTCCTACTTAGTCCATATAATTTTAACTCTTCAAATTTAATTTATATGCTCCCGATAAATTTTCAATTTAATCTTTATTGTTAATTTATGATTGATTTTTTTTTAAAAAAAATTAGCTCAAAATTAAATTTAATCCCTAAAATTTTATATAAATTTATTTAAAGAAATAAAATTTTAAAAATTAAAAATTCATAATCGATATTATTAGACTAAACTTTTAACTTAATATAAATTATCAGAAATTAACTCGAAAACCAAATAACATAATTTCATATACATGGTAACATATTTTTGATAAATGATGCACTTCAATTAAGTTACCTTCAATAAATGTTGTTTTGAATGCAATGATCTAGTAGTTAAGAATAAGTTGGTTTTGAAAGGATATAAATGCAAATAAAAAAAGTAGTAGATTTGGATGAGTGAATAAGTTTGTATTTGTTTTGAGAGAGACATTATTAAAGTGTCGTTTTTTGTACATTAAATATTAATCTAAATCTGCATAAAATAGTCTATTCCCTATAAAAGCTTTGTCCCTTTTGGGAGTTGTAGTGTAAATATAAAGAGTTGCGGTGGTCTCACCAAAAATATTATTCAAAGTTATCAATTACCACTACCTATTTTTCTATTAAAATAAGATTGTCACTGCATGACATGACTTGACTGTTACATGTGAAGACATTCATTTAAAACATTTTATAAACGACATATGAAAATCTTTAAAACATTGTAGTAAAAGTAAATAACATGAATTTTAAA